CCCTCCGAACTCCACCACCACTAGCCTCACTTCATTCTCCCCAACATCCTCTCCCACAATATTAGTCACAAAATTTGTCGAAAACACTCACATGTGCAGCCTAAACTACTAAACTGCAATATACAACCTTTTACGGAACCTTACTTTCGACGCAACCCACGATCGCGCACCACCACTGATGGTTACTCCTCACCTCAATGAACCTATACATGGCCTCACATCAATCAAACATGTCTCAAATCATTCTACTGTAATCTAGACATTTGACAGTGGCGGCATCCATTTTGCCAAACTATTCTCCTTCAATTCATGCATCCCACAACACTAAATTCACAAATTGGCATCAATCGAACCATCAACGAACCCAAACGACAATGGGTATGAATCTAATTAAACCTATTACCTCCAATCGTTTCAATCACTGATCTAAAACTCTCTACGGTCACGATGCACAGAGAGAGTTGTTTGACCAAAATTGGTGGGTCCTAAATGCTCCAGTCTTCAAATTCGAGACAGTGGGAGAGTGAAGCGAGGTTGGTGATGGTGGAGTCAGGTGGACGTGGTGGCCGAAAAGTGGTGCTATGTGGATCTATACATGGCAGCTTGGTAGGTTGTGAAAGTGGTGGTGGTGGAGAATTTACGATTTCTTTATAATTTTTTAAAAACTTAAGGACTAAAGTTTCCGGACAATACCTCAATCCCAGTGTAACTGATTGTCCGAAAAGACTAGCTAAGCATAATGGGCTTGTTCAACCCTCCAACCCTAGGAAAGTCAGGTGCACTAGAGCTATATGTAATTTATTGTCCTGATATTTTAGGGAAATGTTTTAATTAAATATTTTAAATATTTGACCGACTATCCATGAATTTATCAATGAAGTTGATGCAAAGGCACAAAATTATTAATTTATTGAAGGATTATTAGAAGGGTAGAAAAGGAAATGCAACCAAATAAAGATATAGACAGAGAAAACTATCGAGAAGAGGTAATCATTTTGTTCATTGCTAACTTTTGCTTTCCCCAAAAGATCCGAGGTCTTGATGTTAATATTTAGAGAAGTGCTATGGATACATAATTTTGGTCCACAGGGGTGACACTCATATTGCGTGACACTCACATTGAGTGGCCACGTGAGTGTTATGTGAACCCCTGTTGACCAAAGTTATGTACCACAAGACTTTTTCTAATATTTAGACCTATTTGAACCACATTATTATCAAAATTTATTTTCAACTACATATTTTCTCATAAAATTATTTTACATGTAAACTCAAATTTTTTTTCTACTTTTTATCCACACATTCTCCAAAAAATCACTATTCCAAAATATAAGAATATGAATCGTTGACAAGTAATAGAATTGATGAGTTAAGAGTTATCGTCCCACGGGAATAAGTTCAATTCAAATTTGCTAACTTTTTTATGGGATTCAAATTATGTTAACAAAAAAGAGTTTTGATTTGATTTTATGCTAAATTATCTAAGAAAGCGGTAAAAATGTGGTTTTTATCAATTTAATAATGATTGTGATGGATACCGAATCCGCCTATTACTATCTATTTCAATTCTTAATTTGTAATCTAGTTCCGTTCATGCGTTCTTGACAATTGATAATTCTACTTTTCATGACAAATGAAATATATTCTAATCACGACCCCGAATATATTCATAATCCGAATTCGAATGCATTAAAGTTTAGATTATCTATATGATTGTACATGTGATAAATATTATTCCTAACATCTATTTCACATATGTTAATTTTGTTGTGTTCTAAACTTATTGCGAGTCTCCTAACACTAAAATAAGTAACTAATTATCTAATTAGTGACCAATCAAGTAAATAATACAATGGGGTACAAAATTAATCAAAGAACACAAGAAATAAACTAAACTACTAGTATTGAATAAAAACAAATAAACAAATAGGTTTCATCTTCATCCAACACAAAAGTGGATCTAACTTATCATGTTAATGTATAAATTACAAGAAAAATAATAGAAAAATAACACCCGAATCATGAAATAAATCAAAAGATATTGATCTTCACGCCAAAGGTTGAATTATTCAAAATCTTGATGTAATTGACCTTCAATTTCTTGCTATGACTTGATCTCCTCTTTCAAAATATAGCAATTGACCTCTTGTTCTTGATGAATTTGATGAAACTGTTGTGTATGAAGAGGTAAGAGAGGTTTTTCTCTACGTGTATTCCTTGTTCTCTATTTATAAGAGTAAGAAAATACGTCAAAATCGCATCGAATTTTGTTTCCAAAAGAGTTTGAATCGCGAAAGAAAATTAAAGATTCATCTGTGAAAAAGGCCTGTGCATGCACCAGTATAACTACCGTGCAAACGCCATAGAACCAAATGACTCTTGGGTTGGGGAAAACAGTATCATGCACAGTATTTTAGCCATAATATTCTGTATAAGTTTCCGATTGAGTTGATTCAAAATGAGTTGGAAATGTAATTCAAATGGCTACAATTATTCTAGAATAAGATATTTCCAATTAGAACGTTTTCTATCAGAAAAATGGATCTCAAGTTGAGGCTAAAAATCTGTAGCATAACTTTTTCGACTGGAAATTGATTTCTGAAAATACTTCCACTATATTTCACTCATTTGACCTCCAATTCCATTCAATTGATCATATATGATCTTCAATCATCGTTTTATGCTCTGAATCAATTATTGAAAGTTTACACTTTGGTCCCCAAATTTTGGATTTCCTTTATTTTCGCACGTTTTTCGTTCTTTTTTTTTCCAAATTCACTAAATTGTATTGAGTTCAATCTAACAAATATAATTAACATAAAATTAAGTTATAATTCATCCAAATTACTAACAAATACTCTAATTTAATGGCCTAAATAAGTGTACAAAATACATTTATCAATTATCCTCAAAAAATGAGGCTCAAGCAAAGACTTAGTTAAGCCCGAGTAGAAAGGATCCACATGATTGTCAAAAGAAACTACCGAACAAAATTTTAAAGCGATCAAAAGATTTCACCTCTATCCCACAAAAGGAAGCTCGAATTCAGATCATTTGCTTGGTAAAACTTTACTCTTAACACTAGAGCTAGGTCTTGACTTTCTAGAATATGTTTTGTGGTTAGTTATTTAATATAAGGGTTATGCTACATGTACATCATATTTTACTTAATCTTTTACATCCCACTCACACCAAAAGGTGGGGACCACGCGCCGACTTTTTTAATACACGTGGGGGCCACGTTTTTTGTGAGGGGGGTACAAAATTCGGTACCCCCCTTTTCGGTACAAGGGGA